GGCATCACAGCTCACAGCAACCTCCAACTCCTGGGCTCAAGCAAGTCTCCTGCCTCAGCCTCCCAAGTAGCTGGGACCACAGGTGCCCACCACAACCCCCGGCTATTTTTTTTGTTGTTGCAGCCATCATAGTTGTTTGGCGGGCCGGGGCTGGATTTGAACCCACCACCTTAGGTGTATGTGGCTGGCGCCTTAGCCGCTTGAGCCACAGGCGCTGGGCCTGGTCTTGAACTCTTGAGCTCAAGCACTCCACCTGCCTCAAACTCCCAGAGTGCTAGGATTACAGGCATGAACCACTGCACCCAGCCTCAGTCTTTCTTTTGTTATGTGATATAGTCCTTTGTCTTTCTGTATAATGCTTGACTATTTTTTAAATCTTGCAAGTGGGAAGGGAAATTTTAATGGTTGCTTTCTGTAAGGCAAAAAAATCCTAAGCAAAAGAGGATGAGGCAAGCTATTCAGGTACACTTTCCCTGGTGTAATCATTAAGGTCGACAATTCTGCTTTTAGGATGTAAAAAGAATAGGGATTGATTTATGCTGAGTTATTGGATAAATGTTTACAATTTTTGCCTTGATCTTAAGGATGGGAATTGGTGGTCACACCCACATTCCTTCTGTTCTTGGATTTCATGGGTAAAGTGCATGTTGGCCTCCCTAAAATTTCATTTTAAAAAATTAGATATATTCCAGCTATTTTTTTTTTTTTTTTGAGACAGGGTCCCACTCAGTCACCCTGGGGTTGAGGGTCATGGAGTCATATCTGACAGCAACCTCAAATTCTTGGGCTTAGGAGATCGTCTTGTCTCAGCGTCCTGAGTAACTGGAACTATAGGCACCAGCTACAACACCCGGCTAGTTTTTCTATTTTTAGTAGAGGTAGAGTCTTAGTTTTGCTTAGGCTGGTTTCCAACTTCTGACTTCAGGTAATCCACTTGCCTAAGCTTCACAGAGTGCTAGGATTACAGGCATAAGTCACTGCCTCCCACCCATATTCCAGCTTTATTAATAGCAGTATCTATTATACTCGAAATTTAGCCTTGACTTTTGTATTTTTAGATAGTCTGCCTTCAGACTATCTAAAGTTGTTGCCTTCAGTAGAGTGCTATGGCATCACAGCTCACAACAACCTCAAACTCAGGCTTAAGCGATTCTCTTGCCTTAGACTGCCAAGTAGCTGGGACTACAGGCACCTACCACAACACCCGGCAATTTTTATGTTGCAGTTGTTGTTTAGTTGGCCCAGGCTGGGTTCAAACCCACCAGTCTTGGTGCATATGGCCAGCACTGTAACCACTGTGCTATGGGTGCCAAGCCATATCCTTGACTTTTAAAAAAAAAATTGATATTTCTACTACCTATATATATATTCTGTGTACTTATTATATGCTATATGAAGTGCTGACATACTTGGATTTGTAAAGAGTGCATCTCTGGTTGAGGTTTTCCTTTCCATGGCTTGCAAAATTTTATAATTTCTGCTTTTGAACTTGTCTTTTTTACACCTGGAAGTACCAATATATGATATCTCTGCGACAGTCTGCTAAACAGATAAACCTCAGCTCACTGGATAATACAGTTCTCTTAACTCCTGTAATTTTAGCATAAGTCCTTTACATATCAGTAGTTTAAATGATTATTGTTATTTGGTTTACTGGACAGAGCAACTTAATGTAAAAAGCATCACCACTGGAACTCCCTGTTTTCACTCAGCCTTTAGCCTTTTTCACCTTTGTGCCCTCTTCATTTAAAAACTGGAAGTGATTTTATCTCTTACCTACCTGGACTTTAAGAAAAAGATTGCTATAAAATTACTTTTAAAAGATTCATTTGATGGCTTGGTGCCCATAGCTCAATGGTTATGCTGCCAGCCACATACACCAGGGCTGGTGGGTTCAAACCCAGCCTGGGCCCGCTAAACAAGGACTACAATAACAAAATAGCCTGGCTGGGCGCCTGTAGTCCCAGCTACTTGGGAGGCTGAGGCAAGAGAATCGCTTACGCCCAAGAGTTTGAAGTTGCTGTGAGCTGTGATGTCATAGCTCTCTATCGAGGGTAGAGACATAATGAAACTCAGTCTCAAAAAAACAAACAAAAAAAGATTTATTTGAATAGTGCTCTATCAACAGGAAAATTAGTAAAGTTGAGCTTAAAGTTAGCACACAACTTGTTTCCTAATAAACTGCTTACTGACTACAGACATACTAAAAACCACACCCTTGTCCATGGGAAAAGCACTGAATGAAGGTTTGTTGAAATCCTGCCCTGCTACTCAGTGACTGACCAGTTTACTTCATTTCTTTTAACTTCAGCTTCATTATGGAGGAAATGAAGTTAGAGGAATTGTTTTCAGAATTGGAGGTAACGGTGCTTTAAGACTGAAGCTATGTTGAGAGGCTGGAAGTATGAAAAATTCAAAAATGAATGAAATGAGAAATGAATACATGTATAGAGATGGTTGGAAAGGTATAAAAACGAGTTACCTCCTCACACCTGTGCACACATGGTCTCGCCCCCTCCTAGAATAACTTCACTGTAGAAAATTAGTCACGGTGGAATGGTTATTATAGCAGATGAACAAAGGGTGAGAAGGAACATTACTGAAACAGGAAAAACCTGTATAAAAGCTCTGGGATGGACAGTGAGCTTGTTTTGTTCCCACTTGGGAATAAAGCTCATGTGACTCAAACTTCACAAACTAGGGAACAGTGAGAGGAGATGAGCTTGCAGAGGTGGGCCAGCACTCTTAGGGGCTTGTGATGGGGATATATTTGGACAGTAAGCAAGATGACCTGGTTTACACAAAAAAACTACTCAGCTATTGTGTGGCATGGACTACATAGGGACAGGTAGCAGAAAAACCAATCAGGGTCAATGATAATGATGGCTGGGCCAGTAGCAGGTCAGAAGTAGCTGGTTGTGAAATACATTTTGAGGCTTGGCGCCCATAGCTCAGTGGTTGGGGCACCGGCCACATACTCTGGTGTTGGTAGGTTTGAACCCTGCCCGGGTCTGCTAAACCAACTATGACAACTACAACAAGAAAATAGCTGGGTGTTGTGGTCCCAGCTACTTGGGAGGCTGAGGCAAGAGAATCATTTAAGCCCAAGACTTTGAAGTTGCTGTGAGCTGCACTCTACCAAGGGTGACATAGTCAGTCTCTGTCTCAAAAAAAAAAGAAAGAAAGAAATACATTTTGAAGTTGAGCTTATAAGACTTACTGATGGATTAGTTAGTAATTAAGAGCTCAGCAAACAGAGTTCTTTGGTGTAATTGGGTCCTTACACCCACACTGCCCCTGGTTGGCTGGCGGTATGACCTTACCAGACCTCACTTTATATATATTTCCTTGTTTGTTGGATGCACTATCTTTTTTTTTTCTATGAAGACTACACTGATAATTTTCACTTGCCTATATAGTCTATTTCTTTCAAACTGCTTTTTATCCTGCTTGTTTATTCAGCATAGATGTATACATTATTATAACCAGAAAAAAATCATTAAGTGTAAGTGAAAAGAAAATTACAGAGCATGTGGAATGACCACCATCCCCCAAATACCTATCCTGGAATAGAAATAGAAATGCCTATTTCTTCCTATGCTGGAAATAAAGTGATGTGAAATTATGGTAGGCTGAGTGTTGGGATTTAGTGCATAATTATGGAAGAATTTAGCTGACTAAATGAGATGTGAAATAACTTTACACTCTTCACACTCTAAAAAAAACTTTTTTTGAAACAGAGTCTCACTTTGTGGTGTCATCATAGTTCACAACCTCAAACTAGTGGGCTTAAGTGATCCTCCTGCCTCAACCTCCGGAGTAGCAGGGATTAAACAATGCCCAGCTATGTTTTTTTAAGAGACAAGGGCTTGCTCTTGCTCAGACTGGTCTCAAAACTCCTTATTAGC